AATAATAAAACTTCTAAAGATAACTTGAGTTTATGTAAACGAAAAATACTTGATATGAAAATATTTTTCTCCTTATCATAAATCAGTAATAAGTATAGAAATTCTGTTGTGGAAGTATGCAAATTGTGTTGTGTCAAATAGGAGCAATAATATTCTTTACCCTTACTAGAGATGTTATAAAGAGCACTAGCTAATTTAAAGTTTGAATAGTCCTGAAAACCAGCTAGGCAGGGAAAATACCAGCTCTCACTCTAGAGTTTTCTCGATTCCATCCACCTGGGGGCTAACATCTTGTGTTAGAACCTAAAACAATAAAACAAGTTTAGGGTTTTAACCTGTCACTTTAAAGTCCTCTAACTCTACATCATTCAAAGATTATTTTCCTATTTATTTGCACTAAATCATATGAATTATATTCTCATTCATACAACCTCATGTGATTCTTTCCAATTGTTGACTAAGACAATACCAACCCAGTTTTTACATGTTCTCACAACAAATTTTAACATCTGGATAGGTCAAATTAAGAAGTAAATTATGTACATTGATTTAAATCATCACAACTTCTTCCAACATTAAAGATCAATACTCTCCACAACTTCTATCAAACACTTTCATTATTTATCATTTTAAGGATAAAGATAAAGAAAACTACTCATAATCCATGGAGAAGACAAAAACACACTTTAGTTTAAAAGTAGAAATTATTGTCAAACCAACAAGAAGTCTCGATTAAAACAAAAAATAATTTAATAACAAAAGATAAAAATTTACCTCAAATCCTCCACCAAATTCTTGAAGTTCCTTTGAATATCTTCTCTTTTACAACATTTGTGTCATAAATTTATACATAAAATATATATATCACTAGCTAATATTAATGATATTTTTTATGGATGTTAAAAATTTAAGTGCCATATTCAGAAATATAAAAATTTAGATAAATACATAAAATTTCCGTAATAGATATAGTACACGAATAAATGCCTCCATAAATACTATTATACAAACAAGTACCAGACTTCTTATTAATTTATCACATAAATTCCACATATTACCGTACAGCACTCACTTCTTTAATTCATAACTGACAGGCACTGGACGCCGCACAGCACGGCAGCCTTTACCTTTAAGCCCACGCTCAAGGAGAGAGCCAGAGTTGTACCATAGATTCCAAATGCCCCACTTTAATTCACTGCATCCAATTTCCAAGCCCTTACTAGTGCCAGGAGTCTCAATTTGAGTCAACAGGTCGAGCTCGAATTTGACCCGAAAATGATGCTATCCGAATAGAGTCAACCTAAATCTCATCCGAATAATAAATAGGTTAAAAACTAAGACCCGAACTTGAGATTGAGCCGTTAACGCCAACCCGACCATAAATTTCGAGCTTATTCGGCTCATGTTTGGATTTTTGGGTTCAACTCTAGCCCGACTCAAATAATAAACGAGTCGAACTCCTCTAACCTTAACCCGACTCAGAAAATATTCGGGCCAACCCTAACCCGAATTTTTTGGAGTCAAGTTCGAATCGTGTTGATGTACCAGTCTATCGTGTGAATTTTTGACACCCCTAACTAGTCCAGGAATTTGAGGGATCAAAGCACCATCTTTAATTTTTCATAGAAATTGCACGGAAAGTCCAAATCTATATTCCCGACAAAAAAAAAAAAAAGAGTTCATATGCATATTAATAATATAGAAGAGATTTTCTGTATTTCGAATAAGACTTCACATAATTTCATTTTTATGCCGAATAATTTCATAGTTTATGCGATTTTTATCTCATAAATGATGCTCAGTTGGATTGAAAAAAGTAATGTAAAACATTCCATTTAATCATTGGGGAAAATTTCTCCATCTATTTTTATTTTTTAATTTTTTGAAAAATATGAGCGTCAAGTTCAATTTTTATTGAAAGAAAACGATGAGTTAGAGACTCTAAAAGGAATACAACTCATACAAAAGAAAAATAAAGATAAATAAAAGAGAATAAACAAACCTGTAAACAACAACAACAACAACAACAACAATAAAGCCTTAATCCCACTACGTGGGGTCGGCTACATGAATCCTTTTTCTCAATTGCGTCCTATTTAGTGTCATATTTTCATTTAGAACAAACAAACCTATAACATAAAAAAAATTATGTATACAGAATTAACAACACCGACACAATAAAAAAAAATAGCAACATAAAAACCACAAAAGAGCTGCAACAACTTGTAAAAAGTCCAACATGTTATGAACCTGTAAAAAGATAATGAAATAAGCAGCCAGTTAGAAAATAGATGATAAAGAAAATAGGGACAAAAACTAGAAAAGAATCAACAAGTCTAAAATAATATACCAATGAAACATAACAATCGAAAACTCACCAGAGAATAAATAATAAAAATGAGCTCAAAATTTACCTGAAAAAAAGTATTGAAATTTTGTCCAAAGTATAGAATATAAATAAACATATTCCAAAACTAGCTGAATTTTAATAGAAGCTGACATACAACAAAAATCAATACCAAAAGCTTAGCAAAAAGCGAAAATCAAGTAGAAAATTGTAATATAGATAAGCACTACCACATACAACAACAAAAAAAGACAAGGAAATACTGACTATAAAAAGGATACAACTCACCTAAAGTAAAAGGAAACACAAACAAAACAGACAGCTATCAATTCTTCAACATTAAAAGTGCAAATTTATCCAGAAGTAACAACACAGAATGATAGAATAGCGCAGCAACATAAAAACCACCAAAGACCTTCAATAGTCAACAATAAGCCCAACATGTGATGACCATGCATTTCTTCATGTACTTCGCAAAAGAAAAGTTAATAGTTAAAATTTTTAAGAAAATTTTTAGATTGAAAATCTTAAAAATTAAAGCAAAAGATATTTAAAGTGAGCATATTTTAATTCAGGTAAAGCACAAATCAAGTAAATGTCGTGTTGTTGAAATCTTTTTTATAATAATTGAAGAATCATTGTCTAAATGTTATATGTCTATAGTTAAATCGAGCCTCTCAACAGCAGAAAGGTAACAAGTTCAAGACCACTCAATTTTAAAACTATCAAAATACTTAAATGCTGAAAGAATAAAATCTATAATAAAAAATATTGACATGAGTTATTCAATGGAATGTATTAAATTTTAGTTAAATTTATCATTATTTTACTTTAAAATTTATAAATGGAGTGGCATTCTCTATATAAGAACTTATTTTTGAATTTAGATAGAGCTCAAAATTATGAAGAAATCCAAATCTCTACTTGACATTTGAAGGCGACACTCATCACCAACTCTTGAATGTTATCGATCAACCATCAACTTACTATTATCATCATTTGACTACACTACAAACATCATCAATTAGTAATCATTATCTAACCTAAATCAATTGGATATTATTGACAAACTGCAATCACCCAAATCATTATCACACGATTATCATCATCAAATTATCATTGCTAGCGGCTTATAATTATATTTGTCCAATTTAATTTCATTATTTATTAATTTCATCTTCTCTAGTTAAAAGTAAGAAAACTATGTAATATTTCAAATTTATTTTATCATTTCATTTTAGATTGGCCCCTAACTTTTCCCTTATATGTCTATTTATAAAAAAAATGCAGGTATAATTTTGGGATATTTTTTTTATGCGCACAAAGACTTTATTTAATATTAATACATAAATTCTCATTCAATGATCATAAATTTTCTATCATGGAATAAATATTAAAAATCTTATTTTAAAATGAAGGAGTATAAATATGACCAAATTTTTAAATAGCTCATCACATCAGCAGCCAAAAAAACTCTATGAGGTGGCGTTTTTGTCAGGCAAAATTACATGCATCAATTAATAAATTTTCCAAATGTGTGTGCATATATATATATA